GAAACATTACATTAATGCCTTAAAGTCTTCTTTCTTGCAGTGACTACTGTTAATTCTATTTAAAATGGGTGTAAAGAAGAAGAAAGAAATGCAAGTTGCTGTGTTGACCATTTGCCATCAGGACCTTGAAACTTTGAAATGTAGGTGACTTCTGGTTTCCCTTATTTAATGTATTTTTTTCTAGTTTGCAAGCAGAGTATTTTAATCACTGGGACCCCTAGCATATAATATTCAAAATCTTTATGTTTTTTCTTATGTTTTGGATGTAAAAATTTTCTTGAAATTCTGTTTTCAGACTATGTTCCACCTATTGCTTTGGTTTATAGTTAAAAAATTTTGTAGAATGGACAACAAAGGCTAAGTTATATTTAACTTACTGTTAAATCATTGAAAAAATTTTTTTTGTATATATTATGTAGCTTTTGCTGATGTGGAAGGGAAAAATCTAGCTTCTTTGCTGTTACGTTGTGTACAACTCACGGATGGAGTGTCACAAATCCATTATGTTAAACAAGTAAGTCTGAATTGATATTCATGAATACATTTTTAAGAGTATCATGCTATTAAGGATTTTAAAAAAATCACTGACAGTTTTTGGCCCCTAATTATTGCATATCAGTTTATCATTAACAAATAGGTATTTTTTTTTCTTTTCTGTTTATTGTATAATATCCTCGTATTCAAAACAGCAATAGAAGCCACATTCAGGCTTCTATCATAATTGAGCTGTAAATAGATAAGGTAGAAGATAATTGTACATACCTCTTTTGTGAAGATAAATTTTAAAATATATGAATCTTCAAAACTTTTTAGCAGGCACATTTAAAAGTTAATTTAAAATGTAAATATTATACTTAATTAGTATTTCGGTATTAGGATTTACCATTTGAGCACACATAGTTTTTTTTTTGGAAAGCAAGTAAGTTTGTTACTGGTTTTTAAATTGTGCTACAGCTGTTCTTTACCGTAAGCCGTTAACAGGTCTGTGATTCTCTGTGGAGGTGGGTCTGGAGGGTAAAGAGAGAGCTGGGGACATGAGTTTAAAAAGTTAATAAATAGTGAAATAGGTGTTTAAATCGGTATCCTTGACAGTGGAGTATGGAAAACATTTCACATTATAATTGACACTTTGTTTTATTTATTTTTTTGAGACAGGGTCTCGCTCTCTTACCCAGGCTGGAGTGCACTGGTGCAATCTTAACTCAACCACAGCCTCAACCTCCTGGGCTCAAGCGATCCTCCTGCCTCAGCCCCCTGAGTAGTTGGGACTACAGGCATGCACCGCCATGCCTGGCCAATTTTTGTATTTGTTTTTTAGAGACAAGATTTCTCAGTGTTGCCCAAGCTGGTCTTGAACTCTCCTGGGCTCAAGTGATCTGCCCACCTCAGCCTCTGAAAGTGTTGGGATTACAGGGGTGAGCCACTGTGCCCAGCAATTGAGACTTTAAAGAGTATCTAGAACCATGTTACTTTGCTATACTTGATACGAGAAAAATTACTTCAATGTTTTGTATTATAGATTGTGCCTTTGCTGGAGAAAGTAGATGAAAATGGCGTGTGTGATCCCACTATTCAAAGTTGTTTGGATATTTTAGCAGGCATTTATCTTTCTTTGAGTCTAAAGAATCCCTTGAAGAAAGTATTGGCAAGGTAAGAAAAAAAGGAAGGGAAATCGGGTGTTAAAAAGTGTTGAATTTGACTGAAAGTAACTAAAATTCCTTCCTTGGTTTGATAAAACTGAACTGATATAGATCACAAAAAGTTCATTCATATGGTTTCTTCTCTGTTTTCACTGATGAATTACAACTTTTTAAGAATATAAAAAGCCTTCTTAGGTCACGGACTAATAAACAGGCTGTGGGCTGTAGTTTTCTAACTCCTCCCTCAATCCATTTACATTTATTGATTATGTTTAAATGTCATCTTGCTGTTTTTTCGTCTTTTTATCCTATCTGTTCTTGGTTTAAATATATATTTACACAGATAACACAGGAATATAGGCTTGGTGTAAAAATTTCAAACTATATAGAAGTATACAAAACAAAAGGTAAGGCTTCCATTTCATTGTTTAGGACTTATCTTTTCTTAATAAAGATTGTCACTTACCATTTTGGTATTTATCTTTCTAGACCTTTTCTTTGAAGTCGGCATATGTGTGTTACATTCTACTTTTTTTAATGTATCTGTAAACGAGATTGTATTCTACATAATGTTCTGTAGCTTGTTTTTTCACTAAAGAATGTCTTAGAGATATTTCCATGTCATATAATCCTTTTAAAAAAAATTGTAGTAAAAGACACGTAACGTAAAACCTCAGTCTTAACCTTTTTTTTTTTTTT